CCTTCATCTTTGGGGAGGAAGTTGCTTGTGTAAACCTGAAACCCTGGCTCAGTTGTGTAAACTTCTAACACACGACCTGGAAGTCAGAAATAACAATGAATATTCATTGGCCCCAAATTATAAAGGATGGATGGCCAATAATATTAATCCATATGCAAAAAATTATTTCTCCTTTACCATATGAATCATTAAAGTTCCATAAAACTGAAATAATAATAATAGTTATAAAAATAATGATAATAATAATAAACAATTATTATGCAGATGGAACTGAAAATATCATATTATTTCACATTTCCAACACAAAGAGTCTTATCTCTATACAATATGTATAAAAGTCTCAATAATCCATACATACTTCATCATAACCATAAAGATAACTTGATCTACTTATAATCATCAATAAACATAAAAAAACATAAGTCACATAACCACATATACTCTTCCATAATCTAGAATTACAAAATCATATGCAAATTTCAATTTACATGAGAATTACTTTATTCAAATGCAATTCTCAGATAGCATACCAGATGGGGGATGATGAAAGGAAGCAGCAAACTCCAGAAGTCCCCTGCGCTTTTCGTGAATGCAGAAGTTGTGATCGATTCCTCCGGGAACATTAGTAAGGGCTTCTTTAAAGGTGGTTGGGCTGCGGAGGTCAAATCCTGTCCCTCCTACAGGGGCCAGTTCTCCTGTAGCACAGTTAATTCTCTCATTATGTACTGGTTTAAGTACATTTACATACAGTATCTGTAGATTTTAGATATCATGCATGAACATTCATAAATAAACATGGAAAGTAGGTATGCATTATTACTGGCTGTTTTCTCAAACTTTCATGTAAATATTCTTCCAAACTTTTTATTCCTCTCTTCAAATATTTAATGACATACCATTCAGTTCGTGCTTTTACTAATGATTGTAACAAACCTGTTGGAATGAGCTGATCTGAGACAGGTGTGAAGCAATCAGCATTCAACTTTACAACATGTTCAAACAACCCCTTTTGTCCTGCATCCTGAAAACACACACAAAATGATGTTACATTATGTATTTAGTGTAGTAGGAAAGGAATTTTAATGTTTTTCCATGCACATCATAATTAATCTTAAAGTGCTTTGATATTATAATCTATTACATCCAATAATTAGATATTACCACAAGTACTGGTTACTTAACTATCTTAAAAAAGAAAGAAAAAAAGAAAAGAAAAGAAAAATATGTAAAAAAAACAAAAATGGTGGATTGCCATACTCACATGCCCGGCCAAGTTGAAAAAGGCATGGTTAGTCATGTTGATTGTTGTTGCACGTGTTGTCATGGCTTCGTAATCAATGTGTAGACCACCTTCATCATCCAGAGTGTATTTCACCTGAATTTTTGTGATTTATTTACTTAATTTTTTATCTATTTTTAATTCTATCATATCTTCTTGTATTACAGTTAGATGCCTATTTATAGTATCTAATAAAACAGTATAAACAAAGTATTCCTGAGTGCTTAACTAATGAAATATAAATAGTCTGAATACAAAATTAAACAAGAACTATGACAATCTGTATAATGCTTACCATTCATATACTATGAGCTACACAACACAAAAACCATATAATGAAAGTAACATAGCATGTAATAAGTATACTCCTGTATCCATATATACTGTCAAGAATATGTAAATGAACATATGTGGTTTCTTCCTCTATTTTTACCTGCGCTAAAACATCCCCAGGATACCCTTGGTCTCCGTCTGGGCTGAAGTGGGAGAAAAAGACACTCCCATCACTAATACAACTCTCCCAAATGTACTGTGGAAGAAGAGAATATTCAATTGATAGGTTTTACCAAATTAATACAGAAGAAGAAGAAGAAATTCAGTAGCTTAGTTGAGAATCTATATAAATTATTGATTAGATGGAAGATATTCAAAGAATACTACCTATGATGCACTGCAGTAAACTTCACATTGATGAAAAGAGAAAGAATTGAAAACAAAAATATAGTATGGACCTTATCCCATCCTCGCTTTCCACCATGGAGATGATTGGCATTATTGTTAATTGTCAACTGGTACTCTTCTCCATTAATCGTCATCTTCCCTTTTCCAATGCGGTTGGCATGGCGTCCTATGGTGCTTCCTTGGTAATTAATTTTTGTATAGTCTTTTAACAGAAAAAGAAAGAAAAAGAAACATTACTTCCTATCACTCAATTTAATAGAAAAAAATCCCCAATCAGTGAGTGAGGGAAATAGAGTTGAGGTGGAAAAAAAATTTATAAATTCAGTTATATTAAAGGGAAAAGAAAACAATCACCTGTTTCATACTGATATAACAGATTAGATATTATTAGAAGAAAGAAAAAAATGTATACATCCCACATGGCAATGACAAATTCAGGACTAAATCATAACCTGTAATTGATGAAATGGATGAAAAGAAACAGAAACAAACCTTCAAATTTATCAAAGCCAAGTGTGACATGGTCCTTCTTCCCTGTCT